AAAAAAAAAAAAAAAAAAGGACACACTCAAATGGAACCACCCGTTTCTGTTGTCCGACTCGAAAAAAAACTACACAGCATATGGCAAAAACTATGGTTCAAAATAGCATTAGCTTTACTAAACACAACACCCAGATGCAGCTAAAGAGGAGTGCATAGCAAAATACAACTTTTCTTTAGCGATCAAAAGGGATTAAATTCCCTTACCCGATAACTCTGCAGCCCACTTATCCGTATCTGCATATTCAAACTCCAAGTCTGGAGATTCAGAATAGCCCTGGTGACAGAAGGAAAATTCACTTTTAAACAAAGCACATTTCATTAAAAACCACCAATAAATCAGTCAGAACATTCAAAATTAACCGCTTGCAGGCTCAGGCTGCATCTTCAGCCTAACACCTGGCATTTACCAGCAGATCTTAAATGTTTCTGAGGCAACCTGCTGTGCTATCCCCCGCCTTCTGAGCTGACGTAATACTGATCGCTGTCTTGTGTAACCTTGCTCTGCACTGCTATTGCGCTGCTGCACGCAGCCATACGTGATGTCTACACACAACTGGCCTCAAGACAACTTGGGGGGTGGGGATCGTCTCAAGTGAAAATCATTGTGTAAAACAGACAGAAGCTCTCATTTAATCCTAGCATTAAAGGTCTTGACCACAGGGGCCTCAGAGATCTTACTGATGTCCAACAGCATGAACCCCTGCAGAAATGCGTCATCAGGATTTCATTTGCAGGAGGGCCCTCCATGCTAAGTAAGAAACAGACAAAAACAAGAAGTCCAAGAACACAGGAAAAGTGACCAAGCGCAGGGGAGAAAATAACAAGCCAGCGAGACACAGGAGTCGCTTTAAACCACCTATCACAAGAAGAAAGGATCATCCTGCCCCTTTCCGAGGGGAAAGGAAAAACTCTTTTTCAGGACTTCCTCAAGAAACAGCCTTAATCAATCTTCCTCTCCTGATGAGAGCCCCTTCGGCCGGCCCTAACTGAGCTTCGCAACAGGCAAGCCTCCGCTTTGAGACCCTGGCTCCTCCAGTGACCCGTCGCATCCCCACTGCTGGGAGCTCCTTCTTCTCCATCAGCTCCTGAGAAGGAGGCGGCATTTTCTTCTTTTAAAGATGGTTATCCATGTCCCAAGCAGCACAGCAGACGCTACTTAGAAACGACCTGTCTGTATTGCACCACCCGGGTTCCTGCTGTCCTCACTCGGATGCGACTCAGTCCTCAGCGGCAGCAATCCCTCAGCTCAAGGACCATCTCTACCAGGGCTCGCTGATGAGTCTCCAGCCAACTCGAGCCACAAACCCGTCCGCAGGAGTCGCAGGTCTTTCTGCAGGGAAGATCGCGGCATTTCTCTCCTTCCTCCGCTTGCTCTCTCTCCTCTACTCCGAAGGAAGGATGCTCTCCCTCCAACCGTGGCACCACTCGGGCTCTTGACATCGAGGGCTGTTTTCTGGAGGCCTGCCGCCATCACCCCGCATCCCCTCCGCGTCTCACAGGACGACCAGAACCGCAAAGTGGGGCTGGGAGGGGGCATGCCGTCCAGCCCCCGGCCGAACCCCACCCCGACCCGACCAAAGCCCCCAGCCTGCCCCACAGCGGACAGGGGAACTCCGTGGGGGGTGTCAACACATGTGAGACCTGGGGGTACAACCCCCCATCCGTGCCCATCTAACCCCGACCCCCGCCGCTGACCTCCGAGTCCTTGCGCTGGTTGCGGTTGAACTCGCGGCCCTTCCCGCCTGCCAGGCCCGGGCCTTGCCCCGGGCCTGGGGCCGGCACAGGTCCAGGGACCGGCGCCGATCCTGGGCCGCCGCGCGGCTTGTTGTTGCCGGCCAGCAGCCCCGGCCCCACGAAGCCACCAGGCTCCATCTTGGCACCGCCTCACCCCCCCACTCCAAGCCCACATCTCGCGAGCACTCACCGGCTGTTCTCGCGAGAACTGCAGTGAAAGCCGAGGAGCCGCCGCCATGCTCGATGCCCCGCTAAGCCCCGCCCCCCGACGCCATGCTGGATGTGGCTACCAGTGGGTCATAGCTGTGCCCTCCCCCGGCTACCAATGGAACATAGCTCCGCCTCCCCCCGCGACCATGCTGGATGTGACCACCGCTGATGGGCCCCCCCTGCGCAGCCATGCTAGGTGTGGCCATCAAGGAGATTCTTCCCCTCCCCCCGCGCCCCGCCCGGGCGGCCATGTTAGGTGTGGCCATCTCAAGCTAGACCAGAGAAAGCGATTTAAAATCATCCCCGAGCCCAGCCGAGGCCTAAAGGCGTCATGGCCTGGCCGCAGCTGCCAAAGTACCGTCATTAAAGCCGGGGAAACTGAGGCACAAAATGGAGGAAGTGACACACCCAAGGCTGAACAGGAAACAAGTGGCAGAGGAAGGGACCGGGCTTGTGTCCAAGCCCTGGCCAGTGCCAAAGCCTCCAAGCAGCTTCCCCGGGGGACCTCTAGCCCCCACAATTGCTTCCGCTGGGGAAAAAAAGTCCCTGTATTAATGGTTTGGGAATATATTTGGTAGCCATATTCATCTGAGACAAAAAGAAATGCAAACATCTCTTCATCAGGCTCTGGGCAAATTCAAGATGGCGACAGGCCTTTGAGCCTGAAAGCTTGCAGAAAAAAAGAGAATTTTCTTTGCGATTTCGTAGTTGGGCTAATAAAAGGTATTGTTTCTGAACCAAGAGGTCTGTATTCTTCTCTTCACCAGGGACTCTGGTAGCATTAAGGACCTGTCCTCGTAGGAGAAACACCATGACCATGAAGGTGGCTTTCTCACTGGCCTCCCACTTTCACTTCCAGTGGGAAGATCTTAGATACACGCCAACTTTATGGAAATAGGTGACTCCTCCCTCGCTTGCTCTTGCCATGTGGCCGAAGGCAAGCAAAACTCGGGGGCATCCAAATCCCAAGCCTCCGGGCTTGGGCCTGCACATAGGATGCCTGCTAAAGACATTGCAAACCTCTGAAGCCCCAGGTGGGGTGGAGGATGCTTGCCGATAGCAAGGCCACATCTGGTTCTTGAAAGACTCACAGATTTGGAATGGATTTGGCTGATTTGACTTGGGACATGAAAAATTTTCCAAAAAAAACCCAAAACAACCTGAGTCCAGCAGCAGCGATGGTCTCCACCATTTGCTTGGCTCTCTGGAGCGTGGGCTACATGCAGCTTCGTGGGCAGAGCCCAGTCACCCATTTGGTGTTTTCAGTCTGGCTCTGAAAAGAAGGGGACTGGACACCACCAGGGTTTGGCCTGGTAGAATAGCAAGTGCCACAATGCCCACTTGGAGCTGTGCAGCCTTGTAAGCTGCAAGCCAACAGGTGGAAGTCCTGGGGGCGCCGGGGGCAGAAACAGCAACACACCCTTCTTTGCATTGCTTGCTCAGGGCATGCATGTTCATCCACGCAAGCAGCTTCGGCATAAGGTGGCAGGCAGCTCACAGCAGGCTCTAGAGCAGATGGGTGGTAGGAGGTTGCTCATATGTGACCAGCTCCTGTTTAGCTTGATTATGAGGGTCCAAGCCCAAGTGAGGCTACCTCCTAGGGTCTATGCCCACTGCCCTGTTTTAAAAGTGGCTTAAGGTGTTCCCATTCTCTTGATATAAAGTGGTTATTAAAATACCAGCAACCAGGCTAATAAGAGACCCTGGGGTCCAAACAGCTCCCAGTACACAGGCTCCAAAAGGCCACAGTGGCCCCAAGCAGCTTTGTTCAGAAAAGTAGGCATATCGACACTGGCAAAGTTCCTCCTCCCCACACCACTAACCGAGCAGGATTTTGTTACCAACCCTGACAACGCAAAATAGAGCAGGCAGATGGAGGGGAAACATGGCACCGGCACTTGTCTGCAACAAAGCTTCGCGAGGGTTGCTCAGCTGACTTTGAACCGCAGTCATGCACCTCAGCAGAGCTCAGTGATAAAGAAAAATGTTTAAAAAAAGCAGGGGAAGGAACTTCAGTCTGAGCCTGGTTAAGTTTCATCTTCTTGCTTCCCTGGTGCTTTTCACCTAGAGGCGTCGGTGCTTCGCCCAAAGGGAAAAAGATCAGCACTAGTGTTTATGTGAAGACATTGAAACCACAGAGGATCCACATCTTTAGATTTCCCCACCCAGTGTATCCTTGGCAGACACTAACCCTGGACACGCTATGTCAGTAGTAACAAGGCTGGCAAACTGGTTACATTGGAATCTGAACCATTTTAGGCATCCCAGGCCTGAGAGGAAGGGTGTTCAATTTTAAACCTGATTTCTTCAGGGAGCCCCCATGTGGGGCTAAGCACCTTGTCATCAAATATATCTGCACTGCACCTCCAGGGAGCAGCAAGGACTGAAGGGGGAAAAAAATCAGAGTAGGTGGTCATCAAGTGTTTTATTGACTGACAGTTCCCATCCTCCAAAACAGGTTCCCAACCCCAGGGCCATGTCCACGAAGGCTTGACTGCCGGACCGGAAGTCCAGAAGTGACTGGCATACTGCAGACCGGCAGCCAACCCTTTTTTATACTGAGTATATAAAAAAAGAGTTGCCTGCCAGTCTGCACTATGCCCATCACTTCCAGACTGCAGTATACTGGCCCACAGTTTGCCAGTCCACTGTCTAAAAAGGTTGGGAACTGCTGCTCTAAAACCTCATCCACAGGACTGTGTTGAACATCACCACGCTTGTAGGCATCTTGTACAGGGACCTTGAAGGGACATTAGTTAAACAAACACTAGGTGACATCTGCATCAACAGGCAGATTCCTTTAGTAATTTGCTTCAGAACTTGCTGGTCATAACAAGAGCCTGACGCATCGGTATCCTACGCCAGTATAACACAGCTCAGTAGCAGAGCCCATGTCAGCAGGGCTGTACAGAAGGATTCCAGTGTGTCTGAATGAATCTAGTAAATGCAGAAAAAAGACATGCGTTTCCAAGGTCATTGCTTTGCATCCATAAGAAGCCTACCGGTTACTCTGGTAACAGCCCATCATTTAAGGTCTGACCACCTCATCAGGAGGATGAACAGAGGGACAGCAGTGCAATTCTACACCTGGAGCTGTCGCACAGTGCTGGCATGATCAATCTCCACTGTGGCAATGGCTACTTTTGTACTCCTTCTCCCCACCACCCACTCAGTTATGCTGCTGAGGATGAAGTGTGCACCACCGTGTGTTTGTCTGAGCAGGTCCTGATTAAAAGGGGCAACCAACAGCTCTGTTCCCATGCCCAAAATGGCAACAGCTGACCTGCTGATGAGATGGTGCCAGGCTATGTCTTTAAAAGAAGCCTCCCAGGCAAGAGATGTGGTTTTTCTAATCGTTTTTAATTAGATTGTAATGATTTATTGCTCATCTGCAAGGATTAATATTGCATTCATTAAAAATCATTCATATACAAAATAAACCTATCCCTCCCAGGTCGATGAGAACATGCTCCTTCTGACAGAATCGAGGTTTCCCTAGACGTGGGACCATTTGTTCCATTGTGTCCTTTTGTTACATGGCTTATACAGAGATGAAGCCCTTAAGCTAAGATTCCTTTTGACACTAACACTGAGACAGACAAATGGAACAGGGGGTCTGGACTCTGGAACTGCCCAGGATCCCACCCCCCCCGACAGTCACAAGGGCAAACATTTAGGAACGTATGTGGGCTCTGCTTGGTTGAGTGGGAGACCAAGTCTGCTCTGAGATCCAGGGCTGCGATTACAAGAGCTTCCTATGCACGTACAAAGCGAGGAGGGAAAGCGCAAGCCAGAGTCCCGGTGCATGGCAAACCCTCTGGATTGCATCAACAATTAAGAGAGCTTCCCCATGCTCCCAGCCATATCTTCTTCACTGGGCGAGAGGAAAGGAGAGCAAGACCCCCAGCCCCCCGCCCATAAGAGATCACAGACTTGTTGGTTCAGTGGAAATCCAGGCTGCAGAGGAAGGGGTACATGGGCAGCCTACAGCAATCCTTACACTCAAGGCATGGTCCTTTGGAAGCCAGTCTGGCAGTCAGAGGCAGCCAAAGGCAGCAATGAGTCAGCAAAGCAGCTACGTGCATCTCAGAGAAGGGGCAGAAAAGATGACCAAGGGGCTGTGCTGGACTGTAAAGAAGAGAGTGGGGAAATACGAGACTAGCCACTGGAGGCACTGCATGGTTTTGGGAAGGTGAGCTACCCCTTTTAATCTTAACTTAGCCTCTGTTCTGATCAACTAAGAGCTTTTATCTCCTAGACAGAGCAAGCAGCCAGCACCACCCACAAACAAGCAGAAGTAGGTTTCTTAAAGAGAGCACTAGGAATGCATCCTCTGTATGTGGGCAAGATTGGCCAGAAAGTGACCTCTGATAGCAAGGGAGCACAAGAGGCGATGGCTGCGGTCCACTGTAGCACCTTGATTGTCTTTGTACCAGCAGATTCTAGCAGAATTGGAAGTACCTGGACCAATGCCACATGCTCAGCAGAAATCCCTTTGTGAGCTGGGTCTCTAGAGCTCTTTCATTTGTACATTCACTGAGCACTGAATTGAAATCAAGGCTGTACATTTTGTGCTGAAATTTTTGTCACATTAAGTTTGGGGCCAAGGGCTGAAAAACCACAGAGGCATTTTGGCCCTTCTGCATGGAGCTGGAATATGTTGAACCAAGTAAAATAGGACAACCTGCCACCTAAGGGGCTAGGGAGGGAAGAGCTGATTAAAGCAGCTGAAAGGCTTTAGAAAACAGCAGTGCAGTTGGCCAAGGATTCTGCCTCCAACGTTCAGTTGCTATGAACAGAGCCTGAAGATGGAGCTAAGTGCTTTGCAGAACGGTCCATCGGCCACAGGATTTAGACTTCAGCATGAGAGCTACGCCGCTAGAAAAGCTGACAGAAAAAGGTGCTACATCATCAAATGTCTCCCATGTTAAGCAGGGGACAGGAGCGGGAAGGGCCATCTCTGTGTCTAAACTCACTTCTGCTTAGAAGCCCAGGGAGTTCACAGGAGGCTCCAACGCACACTGGAGCCCTCCAGCAAGAACTGCCCTTAGCTGGACGGGCGGTAGCATGTTCTTAGCTGCCCCCGACAGATCTACAGTGTTTCCGCTCAGAAACACCTCCATTAAAACATTTTAGGCTCAAAAATAAAAGGAAAAAATTATTTTTTAAACTCAAATAAGGTGCAGTTTGGCTAAAAAAAAATACCTAGGAAAATGAGGATTATGCTAGTTACCAATCCCCATTCAAATTCAGATTAGCACCCTGAAACAGAATAGATAACACCCACTGAGGCTTACCCTTACCAGGCTCCAAACCACCTCCACAAAGGAAATCTGGTCTGGGGTTATTCACCAATTCCCTAGCTGGCCATTAGGTGCCGCTCTGCTCCAATGCACTGAACTAGCAGCTAAAAACTGGGCTCGTTAAGGCAATTTAGAAGTTGCAGATAATCCTGCACAGAAAAAAAAAACATATAGTACAGTATATCAGTATTTTCAGGTATCCCAGCTAAGGTGCACTGGAAAAGGTAAAAACCACCGCAGGAATTAATCACTCTTCATGATCAGGAAAGGAAACCTTTCCATGAGTGAAAGCCTGAAACCATGCTGGTTTTGGCCATGGAGCAGTAAAGCAAATCCCAGGTTTTCTGCCAGGATCAGACAGAGAAAGATGCGATCACATGAAAAAAGTCAAACAAAAAAGTGACATTAAAATCACGCAGATAAAAGAAAAATAAAAACAGCTTAAAAAAAGAAAAGAAAAGGAGTAAAACAAAATAAAATGATCTTTAAAAATAATCTCTAAATTGTCTCGTGTGGTCTGGTCCTTCACCATTAGGGTCCATCAGTATCTGTAATGGAAGGAAAGGGGGAGACCAGTCAGGCACTGAGTACTGTCCGGGGACCAACATCAAAGCAAAACCTTGCAACTGCAAAGAACTGTTTCCCCTCCATGTGTCAGAGTTCTCGTCCCCTCCAATGGCAATTTCCCAACCCACCAAAGCATCAGCTCCACACCTTCATCTTAGCTAATTATCCAAATCTCTCCAGAGCTAGGAGGATGCTGGTCCATGTCCCAGTCAGCTAGACAACACTAAGAGAAAATAACCCAACTCATGTGGACTCGCAATAGAGGCTCAACCCATGATCCTACCACTGAAAAGGAGCATCAGAAGATATCAGACAGATTCTTTAATCCCCCCAAACACAAAAGTTACCTGTAATAGTTGGGTTTGAAAGGCCCATTTTTGTTGAGTCCCATATATTTCGCTTGATCGTCTGTTAGCTCCGTCAGATGGGCATCAAAAGAAGGCAGGTGCAAGCTGGCAACATATTCATCTGGGCAGAGTAAAGATGAAACCAGAGGAAATTAGGTTAGGTGGACTTACTCTTCTAAGCACACTCTACAGGACTGACGGTGTGATGAATGGCAGACTCGTGCTAACATACTACTCTATGGCACCCACACTTTTTGGATAAGTGCAGTAGATGAACTGATTCAGAATACAGTGGATGGGATTAGAGTGCCAGATAAACCCAATAAAAAGTTCTCTCTCAAGAAATTGATAGACTGGATCCAATTTACCGCAGAAGAACATTTTTCATTGTAGGTCTCGGGCTAGGAAAAACTGCATAGATTAGGTGGAGGAAGGGCACTGAAAAGGGATATAAGCTTACAGGCTGAATGAGCTGGGAGTTACAAGGATGGCCAAGCTTCATATTTCAGGGCAGAAGGATTGCCAGTGTAAAGTCAGGAAGAAACCACCCCACGGGATGGCCTTGCACTTACAGGACTTATCTTTCTCTGATGCATCACAGCAGATTGATCAGTATGTTCCAAAATGCATGATGCATGTTAACAGCTCTAAAAAGCCTTGTCACCACCCAGCATTAGTATGTGGTAATGGCATAAGCAGATATATAAACGGTTGATCGGGGCACTTCCAGGCTGTTGTTAGACAAGCAATGCGATTGGCCAAAGTTCAAATGTGTAAAGTGCAAGGTAAGGCTACTTGCTTAGAGGTGCGGTGCTTTATCAAGAGTCACCTCTAGGCTTTCCATTGTGTGAGAAGCACGCCCTGTTAAGAACAAAAAGCACCAATGCACCAAGCAGCAGTGTGCAGATGCCTGCTGCAAAAGATAACTGCTTTTAACCCACTTTCCTATATTTCATGTAAATATGGTTAACACTGATGTTGACTGACTGCACTCACTCAAGCTAAGTTAGGCTACAGCTCCCAACATGCTGTATCTGAAGCTGAACTGCCACTCCTCTTAGTTGCCACAAAAGCTACCACTAATGGTAACTTGGCCTTTAAACTAGCTACATATTTCTGCTTCAAACCTTAGTCTTAATATTTAAAATAATCTTCCTGATCTCCCAGCACAGAGAGAAGAGCAAACTGATGCAAACTAGGCAGGGAAGAAAACTGTGGCTTAGAGCCCTGTCAGGCAGAATAAGCCCCTTTCACTCTTTGGGAAGGCAGAGGAAACGTTCAAGAACAAAGACAAATCCAAACAAGCTGGTCAGCAGAGAGTACCAGCTCACTAAAGGTGCACACACATTGTCACCACAAACAGCAAGGCCCCCCCAATCCCCATATGCTTTGGCAACCTCTGCTGAACAATCTTGCACTGTCCCTTTGGACGACAGGTTCCCTTTCCTATAAGGAGCAAGAAATGAACCAGAGAGCACTGAAAAAGCATGGCAAGATTGTGACTGCTAACAACCTAGCAGGGTTCTGATCAAAGCCTACAGGACTCTACAGACCCCCTTTAAAGTCATTCAAGATCAAGCAGTTCCCCTTACTCACCCATTTTCTTAGGCAGCAGATACACGTCTTGTTTGTAACGTCCCTCAGGAGCATTGTAGAGCTCGATCAAAGCCAGAGCCTACAGGCATCATACAGAGTCAGTCAGTCATGGAAACGGAGTACAACGGCATTAACTAAAGAAGAGCTACCCGTGGTTTCTGCCATGCAGCCACAAGAACAATTCATCAGCTGTGAGTTAGAGGGACAGTGTGAAATCAGTTTTGGTCCACAGTTCTGCCTCCTACAAAACCCATCAGCAATCAAATGGTTCCGATTGAGGGGAAACGTTTCTGTCCCTGCACCCGCATTTCAAGTGCTGCTGCTTTAGAACTGGAGAGGAAAAGTGAGCAGCCCCTTTTAATTGTCCAAACCAAGGCTGCTCAATCTCTAGCCCCTGGCACTGTGTCACCCAGCCTGCAGGACTCCTTATGAGTCCATAGAGAAGCTTGCAGGGCATGAACCTGCATGCCAGGTTGGGCATGTGGGGTGGCATGGGGCCACTAGAGCCTGGTCCCCACACATGGGATTGAATGGGGACAGCAAGGGGCCCTTGGAGCCCAATCCTAGCGGGCAGAGGCAGTGCAGGGCCCAATCCTGGCGCACAGAGTTTTATCCAGCCTGCTCAGCCCCATGCTCCTCATTTGGCCCATAGTGCTGAAAGGTTGAGCACCACTGGTTCAACTTGTTTGCTTGGCATAAGTGAACTGCAGATATGGTGGAGAAGTAAACCAACGATAACGTTCTCTTAAAAATTCTACAGCTGTCAGAAACAGCAATTCACATAATTCCCCTACAACTCCCTTCTGCCATACTCAGTGAGCTTTACTTTAGACGAAGTTTGTCCATTTGCTACAACTGGATTTCCCATTGTGCCCATTTCTTGAGCTTACACCAGGGCCAAGATAATCTTGGCTGCCTGTTGCACAAGGCCAAGTACAGTCAGCTCTCCATCAAATTTGCAAGAGCAGATCTTATAAAGTTGGACCCATAATGAAAAATACAAGTGGCCACGGTGATGGGCACCCATCTGAGGTGACACTGCTGCTCTCAAAGCCAAAAGCCACTTGAACACTATTTCATCCAAGCCCAGTTCCAAGAAATAACAGTTCTAAAAAAAACACAAGCAGCTGAAGCCTTGCAAGTCAGTGAAAGCACTTGCTGCCCAAGGGCTTTCTCTCAACCCTGAGACCACAGGAGGCCATGGACTGCTAACTCCCCCATGTGGAAAGGGAGCGCTGGGCAGGGCAGGTGATGAAATGTTTCTTGAACAAACCTGAGTGGTGGCGGTGATGGACAAAACAAAGGTGGGAACCGTCGAACAGCTCAGGTTGAGAAGACGACCCTGAAAAGGACAACAGGATGAAGGCCAACCTCAGTGCACTGGAAGCTCAGAATCCCCACTGTCCTCTCAGCCACAATTCTTCACACTTATTAAAGCTGCCAGTCCATGGCACCAATCAGCCCAGACTCGCTCACATTCCCCATTTGCATTCCTTCCTTGGAGGCAGGTCCTGCTGTCCCAGTTGAGTAGGGATGGCAGGCTACTAGCCTAGCAGCCCAGATTCCCACCCAAACTCCTGCTCTTAGCTTAAAGACAAAGACAAATCATTGTCATGGAGGGACAAGCACTCTGGCCATAGGTGCTTCCTTCAGGAAGAGGGTTTTTGGGGCCCAAACCTGAGAAAAACCAAGTAATATTTCTTAAGAATAATGACTAAGGCCAGGGATCCAAGTTTTCCATTCGCTGTGGAAAAATGTGGATTTTCTCCTTTAATGGAGAAAAATGCAGGAAACTGCAGTTTTCCCCTTGCAGACTGGCAGAGTTCCAGCCTGCAAGGGGGCTGCCTGGGGCTGGGGGGAGTGGGAAGGGTGACTGAAGGCAGGGGGGCAGCACCTGGATTGGTGCATGTGGGCGTGCACAAGTGTGTGCACAGGCATGTGGCAGCTAAGCAGCAGCAGAGAGCAGCTCCCGCAGCTCCCTCCAAGTAAATCTAAGGAGGAGGGAAGAGGGCACAGGCGACATGTTGGGCAGCAGGGGGTGGGGGTGGGTGTAAGATTTCTACACCCACGGAGGGCTGCAGGGCTGCAGCCAGGCCAGATCAGGCCTCCGCAGCTCATCTGGTGGGACCTGGCATAGGCAGGAGCACCATGCCATCGCAGCCACCAAAGTGAGGTGCAGCAAAATGGAGTTGTGCCCCTGCTGCTGCTATACAGGCAGGGGATGTCTCATTTTGGTGGCCATGGCAGTGCGGTGCTCCCTCCCGCACTGGGTCCTTCCCACTGGGCCACGGCTCCTGGCCAGAGCTGATCCAGCCCAGCTGCAGCCCCACGCCCCACTGTGGGAGTGGAAATCTTGGGGGGCAAGTGCTCCCCCACCCCTAGGATCACCTGTGCCCCCCTCCTACCCCCCATGCGTCACCTGTGCCCACAACCCCCTTGCCCACACACTGGGGAGCTGGGGCCACAGGTCCATCATCTTAGCCCCCCCCCCCAGCAAAAATAAAAGTTGGCGCCTACGATTCCAGCAGCAAAACTGTGCTATGCCAAGAGAATTAAGAGTGATTGATTGAACAGGAAGGAAAAAAATGACCCATTTAATAGCTTATTGGTCCTTCCTAAATCAAGATCTAGTCTGCACTGATTTAACTGGTAGGCAT